GACAGACAGACAGACACACAGACAGACAGACAGACAGACAGACAGACAGACAGACAGACAGACAGACAGACAGACAGACGTACGTAGATACATAACTACATACATACATACATACATACATACATACATACATACATACATACATACATACATACATACATACATACATACATACATGCATGCATGCATACATACATACATACATACATACATACATACATACAAACAAACAACCAAACAAACATACATACACACATACATACATACATGCATACATACATACATACATACATAAATGTTCTCAGTGGTTCTCGCCTCCGCGCCGCGTGCATTCGCGCATAGGGTGCCACGTGCTCACAACTATGGAGGGGAGGGCGTTGTCAAAGTGTGGCTCTCGCCTCAGCGCCGCGCACATTCCCTTCACGAGCTGGCAGCAGCTCGAACGATGGAGGGCGGCTCCTCTCTCACAAGGTGGCTCTGGCCCCCGCGCCGCGCCGTGCTTCGTCCAAGTTCCGCAACGGCTTCAGGGACCGAGGGCGGGGTCGCTGTCGAAGTGGGTCCTCGCCTCAGCGCTGCGCCGCGCCTCCCCGAGCTCCTGCTCGGTGTGGAGACGCCGCGGCCGGCAGGCTTCTGCCCGTACTCGGCCGGGCGGGCTGGCCGGGCCCTCGCCGGGCCCCAGGGCCGTCCACCAGAACAGCTCTATGGGTGCAGGGCCGGTCCCCAGGGCTCCAGGGGTCCATGGCTCCAGGGGTCCAGGCTGCGAGGCAAGTCCTGGCGTCGGAGGTCTGGGCCCAGGCTTCGACCAAGGGCGAAGGTTTTCGGGCGTTCCCGGGAGTTCTAACTCGGATGCAGCTCCTGGGAGGTCATTCGTTGCCTCCTAAATCTAATACCCGCAACATTCGTTGCCTCCTGATTCTGATACCTCCGAATTCATTGGTTCGAGAACCTCACATTCGTTGCCTCCGAATTGTGATACCCGCAAGATTAGTTGCCTCCTGATTCTAATACCTCCTAACTCATTGGTTCGAACACCTCACATTCGCTGCCTCCTAGTTCTAATACCCGCAGCATCTGCGATCATGCCGGGCGCTCCACAGCGGGCCTCGCCTTCGAGGGATCGGGGAGGTCGACGGTCCTTCGCCTGCGGAGGGCGGCGGGAGCACCCGGATTCCCGGCGGTGCGTTTTTTCTCGCTCGGCCCCTGGGGGCGCTGCCAGGCCCTCTGGCCACCAAGGAGTGGACCCTTGGACGAAGACATACGCATAGCTCATCTCTAATTATTCGAAAATTCCTTGATTTTTTGGGGGCCAGGATCCTTTCATTTCTGATTGTTTTATACTGGGCCTCTTCCCGGCCACTAGGGGGCCAGGAACAATTTGAAACGAGCACAACTGGAAATGAGCACGATTAGAAACGAACGACGTGTACCCCCAAAGGGTCGCCGCGCGTTAAACGCAGCACATCGCCGGATGTCTGGGTTCAGGCCGGCTCCGCCGACGGATCTGCCACAGCAGAGTCCTCGGCAGCGGGCCCATGATTTTTCGTATCGTCTGCGGGGGACCCGGAAATTTGTGTCCTCTCTTGTGCCCGGAATTGGCGTGGAGTCGACGCGGGTTCGACGAGAATTCGACGCGGATTCGACGAGTCCGACGTGGATTCGGCACAGATTCGTCGCGGATGGGCGGCGCGAGGGGAGGGACGAGACGACCCCCCGAAGATGCCACATCACATGCTGCAGCCGCGCGGGCTCCAGCGCCGCCCGCCGCGCAGTCAGTTGGGCTGCGCACGGGGCGCGCATGCGATGCCCGGCGCGGGCTACCCCGCCGGGCAGGCCGGAGCGTGCTCGAGGCCCGGGCGCGCGGCCCGCACAGCGCCTCGGGGCCTCGCCGAGTGCGAGGAGGCCCCGGGCGCCCGCCCGCCGCCTGCGGAGCTCGGGGGACCTCAAGCGGTGTGGTGCACGCACGGCGATTCGGGATGTCGTGTGTCTCTCGTAGGCTTTCGGGCGTTTGCGTGGCTCCGTGGAGGTTTACTCGCGTCGGGGTGCATTCCAGCAGCTGCCCCTCGTCGAGGGCGCTCCCGGGCTGCCCGGATCGTCCCCGGCGGCCGCCCGAGAGCCGATAGGCAGGCGACCTGGAGACCACACGTCCGGAGGAGGGTCCGTGTGGTGAGTATCAGTGGGGATCCGGGGGCACCGCACTCTCTTGGGGCCCGGGGGCCGTTCCCCGAGGACGGCTCGGGCGATTGGGGCCTCCGAGGTTCCCCAGGACCGTGCGGTGACGGACCGCGCGGTGAGATCCGACGCCTCGAAGAAGTGAGACACCGTGAAAAATCGCGACCGGAGCTCTTCGAGCCCGATCGATCCGTGAGGGCCCCGGGGCGGGACATCCTGGGCGGAGGCGCCCAGCTCGAGCAGAAATGGAGTCGCCAGGAACTCCGCGGAGGTCACCAAGCGGTCCGTCACCACGCGGCTGTGGAGCCCCGCAGGACCTCTCTCCGCTGCTGCTGGGCCTGAAGCAGAACTCGCGGCCGCGCGCGTGCCCGGCGCGCCTGGGGCTCGGGGCCTCCTCTTGCGCCCGGGCCGCGGCTCTCGAGGCCCAAGACTTTTTTGCACAAGAGGAGGAAGCGGGCGGCACCGCTGCCGATGCTCGTCCTACACCTCGGTTATCGGGGGGCGATACATGGGGGGGGAGAGAGAGAGAGAGAAAGAAAGAGAGAGAGAGAGAGAGAAAGGTGCCTTTTCCTGGGCCCGACGCGGCCCCTTTAGGAAGGATTTTTTTCTCTGGCAGACCTCGCTGATGGGGAGGGGGACAGGTGCCTGTTTCGGGATCCGAGAGAGCCCCTTTGGAGGACCGGAAGGGCTTCTATCTGGCAGACCTCGCCGATGGGGAGGGGGAAAGGTGCCTTTTTCGGCCAGGGGGCCTCAAGGGCCTCTTTCTGGCAGACCTCCCTGCCCCTCCATTTGTCGCCCCGCCATATTGCGCGCCCCCCTAACACCCATCAGACATCTGCAGACGAAACATGCGCTTCCATGGGCTCCAGAGCTTGCTTCAGAAAATCAAGGACATCTGGGCTGGACCCTGGTCGTTCTCTTGGAGATCCTTTCCTCCGCAGACCGTCCGTGCATATGGACCTGGACCATTTGTGTAGGAAAACGCTTGTGTTGAAGTCCGCGTTCTCGGTGTAGGGTTTCCGTAGCTCTAAGCAGGGGTGTAGAGGGCCCTCGTCGCGGCGGCGGGAGTCTCCTGGAATTCTTGGGTCAGGGCGCTGCCCAAGGGAGGTCCGGGGAGTACGGTCGGGAATGTTGGGTTACGTAGCGTGTCGGGTACTCATTATCCCCATCAGAACAGCGTCCTGGGCACTCCAGATCCCCATCCAGACCTCCACCGTCTCGGCACCTCAGTTGGGAACAGAACCCTCGAAGCCCGAAGGAAACGGCCCATATCCCCATCTGGGAGGGGAAATCGGCTAGTGAGCCCAGGCCACGCTGTTGGGGATAGGGGTCGGATGCACGATGCTCAAGATCATTGGCAGCGGGACCCGTGAACTTTTAGAGCTCGACCGTCGGAGTGGCAGCGGAGCCCTGCTCGGTCTGTAGGCACGTAGGGGTATTTCCCGAACCAGCTTGTCTGCAAGGGTTCCAATGGAATTCTCTCCACGGCCCTGTGAGGGATGCCGAGCCCCCGAAGTCGGTGGCCCATCGTTGCCCTCCCATCGCGGCCTCCCACCGTGTCAATGTGTGCGAAGTTGTTCGGGGACTTCTGCCGCAAGGGTGCCATTTGTTCTAGGGTGCTCCGGCACCCTAGCGCTCCATCTTCTACACTTTGCGACCAGCACGTGGCGGGTTAAGTGGTTTCGAAGACAGTTCTTTGAGGCGTCGAAGTCGGTGTTCATAGGGTATCGCACGCGACAGAGCGGTCAAGCAGCGACCCGACAGATGTGGAAGGTGGATGGTGAGGGAAGGCCACGGCACGGCCACGACTCGAGGATTCGAGGAGCCCGCGCGGCCTTGGGAAAGTGTGTGCCCGTGCAGTTTTTTCTGCTGTGTTGGGCGGCCCACTATGCATGCAGTGAAAACCATGCCAAGAAACACCGTGCTTGCCTCCGGGGTGCTCTGGGTTTCTTGGGTTTCGATGGTTTTGTTATGCAAAACGTGACGTTCCCAGGACGTCCCCCAAAGTCCCCCAAGATCACTGGACGTCCTGGGGTATCAGGGTTAGGTTTCTTGTGGTCGAGCTCCTACTGTAGAACCGGTTGCACACGGCGGTGCAACGACCCAACACATGGGCACCTTCGGAAGCCTTGAGACGGCGGTCAATGCAAACGGGGGTCAGCTACGGCACTGGATCCTGCAGGATCTTGCGAAGACCCCCTCTGGCTGACCCGGGTCAGCGAGCCGTTCGTGGCCGCGAGGCGGCCGCACAGATTGCCTGACCCGGGGTCTGCGAAGACCTGCGCTGCATTTTTTTGTTTCCTGCATTGCAGTTGTTGATTTCCTGCTGACCCGGGTCGAAGGATTGCAAAAAAAAACCGAAGGATTGAAGGGTTGAAGGTTTTTTTTGCAATCCAGGGTTTTTTTGCAATCCTTCGTTGCAATCCTTCGTTCGATTGACCCGGGTCAGAAGATCCCCGACACCTGACGGACGCGAGCGCCATCCGAGAGCCCGGGAACGGGCATATCCAGAGGGTGCCCGCCCCGCCCCCGCGGTGGCGGCCCGACCCCGGGGAAGCCCGAGACCGGAGATCCCGAAGCCCCAGGGAGCCTCGGGTCTCAGGATTGGGTTTCTTCTGGAAGGCTTCTTGTGGTCGGGCGACGAAATCTATACATATCCACTGCTCCCTGACCATGCCCATCTTGAACCCAGGAGCTGTGTATGCGCCCTCCTGGCCAAGCCAGGAGGGCGTGGCGTATACACCGCTGCGGGGTTGAGGATGGGCCTGGCCAGGGAGCAGTGGATATGTATAGATTTCGTCGCCCTATGTGGTCGAGCTCCCGCTGCAGAGGCCGCGGCCCTCGAGAGCGGCAGCCCGAGCGACGACAGCGCCGTGCTGTACACGGACGCGGAGGACCTGCGGCTCCGGACGCCGGACCTCTCCCCGCGCCAGGCGCGCGGGGGCCCACACATTTGATAGCAGCTCGTGGGGACCCTGCGTATACCTTCGTAGCTGTCTGGTTAAGCGATGAGGTCAGGCCGTTTTTTCGTAAATTAGCGTGGATCGGCGTCGATGTAGCGTCGACCAGCGTCTCTACTAGCTTCGACTCGCAGGAGCCAACGAGATGGTACGGGAGGCTCCCGTGAGGCTCCCGTGAGTTGCCGCAGAGCGCACAACCGACCCAGAGATCCAACGCATTGAAAAATACATGGCGGGAGGTTTTTCACCGTTTTCGCCTTCCTGGGGCCCTTCCTCGGGGCCGTCGAAACACGGCTCAGGATGAAACACGGCTCAGGAGAGGATCGGTCGGGACTTGCGGGGACCCCGTATTAAAAGATCGAAACATCAGATCTCTGGCGCCCTGAGATTCAGAATTTGCAATGTTTTCTTCGAGCCCGGTGTTTTCGCTTGGTTTTGCGCCCGGGAACACTCACAGATCGCTCTGGCGGCTTGAATAATGGTGCAGAAGAATGCGATCCACGGTTTTGGTCACGATTTTTTCGTCGCGATAATGAAGTTTTTTCGTGACGTCGGATCTCAGGGGACTACATTTTTGTCACTGGTGTAGGCCTCCGGGAGCCCTTAAGGGGCCTCGGCATCGGGACCATGAAAACACGACTCAGGATGAAACTCCGGCCCTGCGGGGAAAGGGTCGTGACTTGCGGGGGCCCCGCATACAACGAATCAAGACATCGGATCTCTGGGGATCCCCGCGCCAGGCGCCCGAAGGCGCACACTCGGCGACTACAAGGGGTGTGGTTCGTTACGCCGGGCTGCGGCTTGCGACCTGCGTCGTTCCCAGACCCGCTCGTGGCGGGAAGAACCGACTAGACGTAAGAGTGGGGCCCAATGGGGTCCCCCGATCGCCGAACGCGATGCGATAGGAGCGTCTCGCGCGCCTGTGTTTGGTCACCCCGCGGCCCCCAAAGAGCCGCGCACCAGAGGTCACTCTTACCCAGGGTCACTCTTGCGCGTAGCCGAAAGAAGTCATGACGGAAGCTTGTTTCACTGTTTTCGGTCTCTGGGGGCACCGGGCCTCGGGACCGTGTCAAACGACGCAGGATGACACGCCAGCCCTGGGGGGAAAGGGTCGGCACTTGCGGGAACCCCGGTTTTCACAAAACACACATGTCATCAGATCTCTGGGACCCTGAGATCTTGTCGTCTTGATTGCTTCGAGCCTGGCGTTTCCGCCACGCTTCGGGCCCTGGGACCCTCACAGATCGATCCGGCTCGAAAAATGCGTCAGGCTGATAGGGTCTATAGCGCTCTTGTCGCGGTGTTGCAAGTCTGTCGCGACGTCGGACTTCAGGAGACGGGGGCCAGCCGACCCCGTCTGGCTGACCCGGGGTTTGGGGGCCACGTGGGGCCGATCCTTCCCCCCTGCCTCGGACGGGCCCCAGCCGGACCGCCCGCGGCGCCTGATGCATCTTCCCAGAGGAGGGCGGACACATCGTGACCCCCCTCTCCTGGAAACGGGAGGTAGGACAAAGAATCGAATGATCCCAGTGCGACCCTACCTAGGAGTTGGAGCCTCTAGGAAAGCAACATTGTTTGTGCTTTGCTTTGCTGTCGCTGCTGTTGCTTTGCCTTTGCTTTGCTGCTATGCTATGCTCTGCTATGCTATGCTGTGCCCTGCTGCGCTGTGCTATGCTGTGCTGTGCTGTGCTGCGCTATGCTATGCTATGCTATGCTATGCTATGCTGCGCTATGCTATGCTATGCTGGGCTATGATCTGCTGTGCTGCGCTATGCTATGCTACGCTATGCTATGCTATGCTGTGCCCTGCCATGCTAAAGCTCAGCGAAGCTAAGATGAAGGTAAGCTAATCTAAGCTAAACCTGAGCTAAGATGAAGCTAAACTAAGCTAAGATGAAATAAGCTCAGCTAAGATGAGATAAGCAGCGCCAAGCTAAGGGGACGTAACTGGGGGAACCGCGGGGCGGATGCCGGGGGAACCGCCCAGGGCGGTTTCCATTGCCCGGCCCTTTAAGCACACAGGGTAAGAACCGTTCTAGGCAGAGCCTAGGTAGGGAATACAAAAACATGCTTGTCCTGTCTTCGTCTTGTTTTTTTGTCCTGTCTTTCTCCTGCTTTTGTTTTTTTGTCCTGGTAGGAAAGATATCCAAATCGAACACATGTTTGCCCTGTTTTTGTCCTGTCTTCCGCTTGTGTTTCTGCGGAGAATCCGCTTGTCTTCCGCTTTGTCCTGTCTTCCGCTTGTCTTCCGCTTGTCCTGTTTTTGTCCTGTCTTTGTCTTGTGTTTGTCCTGTCTTTACCCTGCTTTTGTCTTTGTCCTGGTAGGAAACATATCCAAATCAAACACATGTTTGTCCTGTTGTTGTCCTGC